ACTCACTCACTCTCACTTACTCACTCACTCTCACTTACTCACTCACTCTCACTCACTCACTCTCACTCACTCTCACTCACTCACTCACTCTCACTCACTCACCCACTCACTCTCACTCACTCACCCACTCACTCTCACTCACTCACTCTCACTCACTCACTCACTCACCCACTCACTCACTCACTCACTCCACTCACCCACCCACCCACTCACTCACTTGAAAAAAGTAAAATCCAATCATTTGTGAAAGGTCAATAAGTTTACATCGAGAAGTTGAAAAGCGCAAACTTATGGATATTTTTTGGTAAAACTTTTGTCACTTGTGGCAGGAAGCACCTGTGGGGCCACAACGCGCAGGTGAGCCAGGGCTCATCTTCGGAAGTGATGAAGCTCCTCAAAGGTTCACCAGCGCCCTTCTTGTGCATGGTGATTGCCTAGTACACTTCCTCGATGTCGTAGACCTTTTTGGACCATGCATCATGCATTTTCCACCAGTTCGGGCGCTGAGTTTTTCAGCAAAACCCAAATGACATCTGCTGAGTTCTCTTGCACACCAACTTGCCCGCAAGCCTTTTCAGCAACAACAGTTCTCAATCGCTCTATCACGCCTTGGCTTGGATCCATGGCAGATGCGCCCTTGTCCTGCACGGTGACCGACATCTGTTCCTCCAAAGCATTGAACGCATCAAAGCCCCACAACAGTGGCCGAAGCGTGTCAACGCCTTTCAGTCGGCAATGGGCTTCCACCAGACGGGCGTGTCGTTTTCGCAGCCTTTCAGGGATTTGAAGAATCCACCACTCGAAGCCTCTGAGAGTGGAACATGGCAGCTACATCGCAGCTACTGTGATTCAGTGTTATTCGCTGATGTGGCAAAGATGATGTGGCAACGCATACTTTTCAAAATACGTTTTCAGAGTTCGCACATTTTTTGATTTGTTGCAAAAACGTATCAACAAGTGCAGTTTTCGACTTTTCACTCACTTTCCTTTAAATTTTGCGAACTTGTTCACTTTTTTTTGCTTTCAAAATACATTCAGTTTTATCTTTAATTTCTCGGTTTTTCATTCAACAAGTGAAATGTTCACACTATTTTGGCAGACCGCTGCTTGCTAGTACAGGAAAGTAACAAATAAACACATTAAAACATATATTGCAAGATCAGGAGATTTAAAGGAGTTAAAGCAAACACCCGTTGAACCAAACTGACTTTACATCCAAGCTATGGCAGTTCTGGCCGGGGGTACGTCTCTTTTGGTAAGGCAATCAATGAGCACCTTGTTTCCAAGCCTGCGAACTTTGAGCTGCGGCGTTTTTAGTTGTCCAAAGACATTGAGAAGTCCTGGGTATTGAATATCGTACATGCAGTATCTATATGTAAACTGATATAATTTGTATTGTAGGTATGTCCAACCAGACCCGCCCAGCTACACAAACCGACGAGACAACTTTCCAGGTTTCTCAGCGTGTAGGAGCGGCGAGGACAACGACAACCTGTGATGACCCATACCATCCCATGCCCATTCCCCAACGGGTCATAACTTGGATCTCTATATATAGAGAGAGCCCACATATATATATATATTGAATACGATGTATAATACAAAAACCTATTATTATGATGACGTTAGTTGTCAGAATTATCTATTTGACAGTGTGCCCACAAACTTGAACACCCAACCGTTCAAGAGGGGAACGGGTGTCATCACCGCAGACAAGTCTTCATCACCAATGGTGGATCGTTGTTGGGTCCGGAGGCCAACTTCTGCCGGAGAACTTGCAGGGAGGCCAAGTGAGGTGGATGGGATCACCAGCTTGTGGGTGGGTTGTTCATGGAATTTGCAATCGCCACCCCTTTAACCATCAAAAAAGGGGTAGGGGGACCCAAAAATTAAATGTAAAACAGGGGGAATTAGGGATACTTCCAGTCCTTCAGGTTGCTTCCTGAAACTCGATTCGGGTGATGAACACATGCGAGGAATTGTGAATGATTCATGAACTTCCACTGTGCTGAGATGTTAGTTTCTTGCAATTTTGTTTGCTTCAGGGTTTATCGAACCCCGCTGGACCGGTTGAGAATGAACATCACATGTAATATATTCAATCTATATTTTGTTGTTACCTGGCAGTAGTTGCCGTTGACCCACCGCCACCGTCCGCTTTTCTCAGACGCCGGCGCCAGCGGTTGCTGAAGATTGCTATTTGGAGGCCTGCTCATGGCCGGTGTGTCGTGCCTGTTGCGCGATGCAACGTTTGCCCTTTCAGGGCCTTCTTTTTTGAGGGTGCTGACCAGCAGGCCTTTTTGGCCGAACCGAAACTGGAAGAAGCGCCTCTTGGAGTTTCGGTAAGGAAGATGTTCAATCAGCAAGCGGGAACCACCAACTGTTCGTCACGACAAAGTCTCGGGTTCAACGCCACCAACGATGGGGCCAGGTGGGTGCGCCAGGCAGAATCGGCGGGTCGTTGAAGGATGTCAAGGACGTGAAGGAAGTCTTGTGCTACCTACCAGTACCCTCCAACAGGTCACCACCTGACACTTTTAAGTATCCAAAAGCTATACCAGAGGAGACCTGTTGGAGGGTGCTGGTACAGATCAGTTTGACATCATCTTGAAGTTGATCCAAGAACACTACGCACTACGGAAAGGGTGTCCACTCACCACTCTAAACCGGGGGTCCAAGGATGACCTTTTCAGAACGAGGTTTGGACCTGGGTCGACCGGACCTGGATAGATTTGTAATCTAGCAGTCTTTGAGTGTATGGATGGGGTGGACCGAGGTGCAGTGCTGTACTTCACCAATAAACTGGTGGTCTTCATCAGTTTTGAGACATGGCTCTGGAGATTCGTGAGGATAGAGTCCACATGAAAGTCATGCTCCGAGCAACATGTGGACTCTATCTCGGACTGGACCAGGATCGGAAGGATAGCACAAAGAACGTCGAACACCACCGGTGCATCTCATCCAATCATCCAATCCCTTGTGCTCCAAGCACCTCAAAAGGTATGACTGGACCCTCCTGGCACCCACACCAGTCCCACCGAACCTCAGGTACGGTACGACTGGAGCCCAAACGGGAACCATCTCAACTGTTCGACTCACCTACGTCCATCACCGCCGACGGTCAGACCTCATCCACCTCCATCCACGTCCAACAGCTCATCCAACAGCCCATCCACCAGGTCATAACGGCTCCCACACCGCCCGAAGCACTTCGGGAGTTCCGCCCGTCCCCTTCAGCCGTCCACTGAACCGTCGTCCAACAAAGAATTTGGCGCGAGACGGAGATAGAGACCGGAGATCGCAGGACGGACAGGCCCTGAAGAGGGCGACTTCGACTTCGGCTCGAGTGGGTTGAAAGAGATGTTTTTAGTTGGTCTTCTTGCGACGGATGGATGGTGAGCACCGCGTGGAACCTTCCGCCCAGTTGCAACACCGTGCTGGTGCGGCAGTTCTTCTCCGAGTGGGGCAACCAACCCTTGCATATCTCTGCCTGGCTGGGTGCCTGAGAGACCGGGCGACCGAGTGTAGTGTGCCTGCTTTTTGGAGTTGGTTGGGAAGGGCATGTTTCAAGATGTTTCAAAGCATCGGTCGGAGTGAATCCAGGCGACATCGATAGGTTCGTCAAGCCATCCATGCTCTCCATCCAGAAAGACATGGTTTTTCACGATGGATCCCCCAACCTTTGGATCCCAAAACCCATTGCCACACGACCCAGCATACTCCAGCATACTCCAGCGGCACACCGCCGGTGGCTGACTCACCTAGGCGAGCCTTTCGCTACATGACCGATCTAGCCCGCCGCACGGAGATGGAGGACCCGGAGCAACTGCGGGCGCTGTCGCAGTTTTTTTTTTCCGAGGGGCCGAGGTGCCGTAGAGTAGAGTCGGTAGAGTAGATAGACCCCCATCTAGATAGAAAAGTATAGATCCCACTCAAGCATGTATTGAACACCGTAGTCAGTCTATCTATTTGGGGACCATTATATTGACATGGTTTTTGCCGCATCCGCGCCTGTGACGCGAAAGGAATATGGTTGGAAAGAGGGTGGGACGTGAGGTGGAAAGAAGCATTTGGTTGTCCTCCCCCCCCAGCTGTGGATCACTTGCAAAACCTTAGGGAATTCGTTCCATTTCCTACAAGAAAAACAAAGACGGCATTTCAAGGTGTTGGCCTTGGAGAGGGAGTCATGAAAGAGACCATTCGAATTGTTCATGAGCTGGCTCAGGGAATTTGATGCAAGCTGACAGCGACAGCTGGTGGTTGGAAGCATCAATGCAGTGGAGGCACAATGAGGCTAATTGACCAAGCACTGCTGCTTGAAGAGCTCTTGACCTTAGTTTACTGCATTTCCGGACCATTTGGCTTGGCCATGAGAACAGGCGGCATTCAGCTCGCGTTTTATCAAAAAGACGCGCTTCGCCATGCTCTGCGGTATGCTTTCGGGGGGGCTTCACTCCAGGTGGAGAATCGGCCGGACAAAGTTGGCCTTTTTTCAACTCCAACTTCGATCACCGTCAAGGAGTTTGTTTTGACAGACGTCGTCTTTGCACGCACATGTTAGCGGAGCACTGGCTCTGAAAAAGAGCGGTGATCTGGCGGAGCTCAATGGCCGTATACCCAGCAAGAGCGGCCAATGATCACGCCATGGGCAGCAGGAGCTTTCTTCGGAGAAAACCTGTGGTTGACAAAACCTGATTTGGCTCACTAAGCACCAGAGTATACAGCTTCATCGACTTCCTCTCGGGCTACATAACAGTTTTGCACTTTCGTCAATGCACCAATTTCAAGTGGTTGTTTTTACGGGAATAGACCAAACATGACCAAACACACATGTTGCCTCATGCGCAGATAGATGTCCGAAGTGATACAAAACCCCAGTGCTCGATTTCAGCCAGAGATTCCATCACAGCAACCCTTGGAAGAAACAAAGCCCCTTCCAGAAGTGGCACAGTCTTTTTAGACTCCCCGTCTCTCTTCGAAACATAGGGCCTTGGAGAAGCTGGGCTCATTGTTCCGGAAACAGGTCAGTGCGTCTAGCTGAACACTTCCTTCCACCACATAGATCTCAGCGATTCTGAGTGAATGTTCAGGAAAGAACTTATTAGGAGTTTTTGACAGCAAGGCAAGGGCTTTTCTTTCCAAAAGAAGCAGAACTTGTTGGTCCTTCGCAGTAAACACCGAACGCACATACATCGCACCTACCCCCATCACAAAAGACAAGACCTCCATGGCAGGACTCCGATGACCGTGGTTTCAAACCAAAACGCCGAAGTTTCGCAGGAGTTGCTCCTGCTCTTCGTGGCCCAACGGTCTTTGGAGACGGTGGAGGCCCGAAATGGTGTCGTTTCAAACTCCGGAGCAGGTGAAGGTGACACATACGTATCAGCAGGTTTTATCATGCAACAGGTATACAGAACATTTGCATTGATACGTGGTTCCTGGCCTTCCACACAAGCAACACCGCATCTATTCCTCAGAATGCCGAGACCTCGCATGTGTTTGGCTCTGATTTGAAAACCCTTGGAGCACTCTTTGTTTAGCGACACATCGCAACATCCAACTTCAAAAGAAACTGTTCCAACAAAAGCTGTCATTAAACATACAATCTATATATATATATCATGTTTTGTATAATTAATGATCCCCAAATAGATAGAAACAGGCATTTTTAGTGGGAATCTACTTTTTCTCTCTATGTGGGGTTCTATAAAACAACAATCAACAATAGCTTTTGCCCATCCAACACACCAACCAACGCTGCACTGGCCGGCAAGCACTACGGGCGTTGCATTGCAAGGTCCCCTTATGGGCCCTCATCCAGATCGGCCGCAAGAGCATGGGAGCAGACAAAGCCAAGGCACGTGTGGGACAGTTGACTTGGAAAAGTCAATAGGTGTAGGACGGTGTAGGGATACAAGATGATACAAGTCAAGATTGGCTGGAGTCTTTTGCTTGTTTCATTGTGTGGGCAGGAAATGTGGGAGCTTCAAGTCTAATCCTTAATCATCCTTAATCCTTGTGTCGGATTGCTGCTATAGTTGCCTGTTGAGCATGCAGAGTGACCAAGCAGCAAGATCTAAACGTGCTTCAGGGGAGCTGGTCATGAAGCACTGTCGATAGGGAAACTGTGTTCTTCATGCCAAAAGGATTCCATATCGATTGGTGGCAGAAAGGCCCCAGCTGCTACCCCAGAGGTAGCAGCTGAGCAGTGTGGCGGAAGAAGGCATCCCAAATTTCCATGTGTGGCTGCTTCCCTGGTTGGTGGTTACCAGTTTCCTCCACTATCAGTGAGTCACATTCAACTCATCCGTACCTTCCGCCGTTTCAAGCAAACAGCAGCGGGAACAGCGGTGTTGATCGATCGAACAGGAAGTAACTCAAGGGTCAACTTCAAGGGAAACAGAAGTAACTCAAGGGGTCAATTTGGTTTCTGACCTATAGGTGAGGCGATCAATCCCAAGAAATAAATTCAGATAGGCGAATCGTAATGGCATCCCATTGTTGGATGGTGTGACATTGCAATGTGTTCCATGTTTGAGTTGACCTATGCGAGTTGAGTGTTTTATCCTCACATCATCTCACATGTTGCATCAAGTGCATTACGATTGCATAAGAGATAGATTGTCGCATTCCTGTACGGGCACGCTCCAAACCCTGGCAAACGGTAGAGGACTCACACAAAAAAACATGGTACCCTTTAACAAGGTTCCAAAAACATTGGAAAACGAAAGGGGACTCAGAAATCTGAGAATGCAACCGCCCCACATATAAAGGTTTGACCGTACCTCATATGTTTATTTTTATGTTTATATACATCTACCGTGAGACTTATTGTCCTTTGTTACCTGCTTGCGTAGCCTTCTCCGCAGCAACCAGGCATTAACTTAGTTCCCATTTCGTTCCGCAGAGGCTCCGCCGGAGTTGAAGCAGAAAGTGGCTCAGTTGCAGACTGAGGAACCGCCCAATGTAGTACTGTAGAGATTCATGAGGCTGAACACCTGTATAGCTTCATGAACGGGATTTGTAGATGTGGTTTTGGTCAAGACCCGGTTGTCCTGGTCTACCAGGTAGGTCAGCAAAGGTATCCTGGTTTTGACCCACAGACATATGATTTGTTTCCCCATGCATCATCGCAAGTTTGGACGACCCAGGCAAAGGTTTGGTAAACATGCACTGTTTGAAATACGCGTGGAAGGAGATGGCACCACCTGCTTGGTATTCGGAAAGTGGTCATCCAAGAGGCCATGCCATCCACTTCCATTTATGTTTATTATTTCAAATCAATGTCACTAATCAACCTACTGGTTGTAAAGATAGGCATGGAACATCGCCCCTTTGTGAAGGACAAAGGGTCTTGAAAAGGTTCCACCGGTGCATGTGAATGACCAGCAGGGCATACATCTTAACAGGAGCTTACGAGAAGGGGATTGTAACTTATGATATATGTTGCTCTTCAAATCACAGGATTGGACATGTATTTGCTCACAATGAGATGTTGGCTGCATGCTTTAACCGGATGTTTGATGGGCCGTTGCACTGGACGCTTGTTGGGTCGCTAGCTCTTTGAACAAGAAGCG